TATTTATATTAAGGACTCTTGTGTTTTTTGCTTGAAATTTCAAATAAAGTTTTGTGTTTACAAGAGGTGCTATTTTTTTTTTTAGAATAACTTAGAATCTAGGTGAAAACAAACATTTGCTAGGAGTATCAATCAATACAGAGAACAATATTAATAGCTAAATCACTATTTAGTAATAGACTGCTGTACCTGAGTTCTAGGTGAAAGAGCTTGATGTTTTTGATTGATAGCGGAAGGACATAATGTTCTGATCTTTTTATTTTTTAGGAGATAACTTTGAATTATTTGAATTTTCATAGAAAATTGTTTTCTTAAAACAAAATTTGAGACAGAATTGACAAACAACAAAAGCATTATGAGAGGAAATGAAACTTTTCTGAAACTTTTCAAAAGGTCAAGTATAAAAATTTTGTCAATCCAAAAAATTTAGTTACAAGTGTTACTATGTAATCTGGGTTTTCCAAACAAGTGAAAGAGGGGAGCTTTAGATTTTGCTCTCTCTAAATTTTGTATTTCCCTTTTTTAAATATGATATAAACTTTCATCTTTATTTTGGAAAATTGTCACTCTTCTTCTGCTAACTCAAGTGCAAGTGCAAGTTATTTGAAAAGGCAGTTTACGTGTATTGTCCCTTTATTTTCTTGAAACGTCTCCTTGTGACGCTGGTTACCTCTGTGTTCTTTCAGCTAAGGAGTGTCCCATGTTTCTCTGTGTCTCATCCGGCTGGACCCTGTGAGAGCTGCTACTGCTGGAATGGATGAGAAATACGACGGAGTTCCCCTCTCTCCGGATGGTGTCGCGCCAATTGGATTTGAAATGACCAGTGTTCAGGAAGGTGGGATAATTTTTTGTTTTCAATTATGTAAAATGTACATGATTTGATTTGATTCTCCATTCCTTTACGTGACAGGGTGCTCTCCATTGGTGAAGAAGTTTCTTCTCTGTCATTCCGTTTGTCTTTTTATCCTTCCATTTGTCCGTCCATATTATATGTCTGTCTGTCTGTTTATATTTTGTCTCTTTGAATGTCTCATTCTTGCCACCCCCCCCTCCACCCCTCTGCCTGTGACACCTCTAGTCTTAGGCACTTTATACAACCTGTTCGTCTTGCAAGTGCCGTAAAACCTTTACTAAAACTTACAACAAAATATTGTTCAAATAATTAAAAAGAGAAACCTCGTGGTTTTGTGCAATGAAGTGGAGGGAACTGACAGTTGTCATTATATTCATGTTAAATGTGCATGGTGACATGATGAAATATTGTGACTGAGTGAATGCATTTGTGGTAAGCAGTGGGAATGAAGAGCAATTTTCACAAATTTTTGCTTGGGTTTTCCTTTTTCCTTTGGAATTCTGTGAGTCATGTTGCTCTATTGCTGCTTATTGTTTTTGACATGGGTCTACCATTGGATACAAATGAGCTGTGATTTTATGGGAGCACCATCACCTATGTATGTTTCTTTTTGCAGAGGTTTACAGGCTGTCCTGTGTGCATGCACAATATGTTGTCACCTGGCAACGTGCCATATCCACCGAGGGAGCGCTCTTGCTTTGTATCACTCGTATGAAAAGATAATTAATTATTCTTTAAGTAGTAGCAACTGGTGAATCATTAATTTGTGTTCATTTTAGTTTAGTTGAAAGTGGTGATGAATTAGAAATGATTGTTTTTCTTTGTTATAATGGACAAGAGAAGCCTTCTGAAATCAATTTTTAATTAAAAGAAGATTCTCCATAGCTAAAAGAGCTGAAAAAAAAAGAAACAATGATAATAAAATGTATTGCAGATATTAATGCTTGCTCATGATTTGATCGAATCGTTTTAAGTTTGGCTAAAGCACAAGTTTGACAGAAAAAAAAGT